AGATAATGGAACAGAATTATCTCTCCAAAGGTCATCGACTCCCGCTGATGGAATTCCAACTGCACAGTCTTCAGTATCGCCTTTCGTTTTTTTTTTTTGCAATTAGAGGGCCTTTAACTATTTCAAAGACTACTTTGATGACGAGTTTTTTGAACAATCTGCTACGTTTAGTAACGATCCTCTACATGCGCTGCACAGGCCGGATTTCTAAATATAAATTCCATTGAACTGAAAAAACTTGATGGTATTCATTTGATTATGGGTGTCATCCAATAGCCAAGGCTGTTCATGAACTGGCGAGCTGGGATGGGACGCGAATACACATGGTGACAAACACCATGACTAGAGAAAGGTTAAAGACACTGCGTTCAGCTTGTCATGTCTTCGACTGCGATACTGCTCCACCAGGTAATACCAACACGCTCTGGAAAGTCCAACCGATACTTGACCGGACCAAAGAAGCTTGTGAACGATTTCGTCCGTGCGATGTCGTCGTAATTGAATGGATGGGCAACAAGGCCAGCCATGTTAATCGCATCAAAGTGCACTTCTGCAGACGAAACGACTTTTGTAAAGCACTGGGAATACGTCAGGATTCATGGACGTCTCCGCACAAAAAACCATCGCGATCTACAACAGGCACATGGGCGGTGTAGTCATCGTTGACCAATCAATGGAATATTACCGCATCTTCACGAAGACAAGAAAGTGGACACTGAAGGTAATACTCCATTTCATTGATCTGGCTGTAATGCATGGAACCTGTACAAATTGGAATGCAAGTAGTCGATGAATTTACCAGCTTACTCATTCGTAGAAAAACTCCAAGTAATAATACTGACTAAGCCGAAAATTTAGAGCTGAACATGCAAAATTTTAGGAGATCAAATCATGCCGAATGGAAGGATGTACGAGCCGATCGAAACTTTGATGCAAAAAATGGAACGTGTACCTGTGCCTCTCGAGAAAACAAAACTGCTTTGCAGCTTACCATAAAAGTAATAGCTATCAATACTAGTGTCATCAAATCATCAAATCAAGTCTGATGAAGCAATAGTAAAAGCTGATTTAGTTTTGATCTCAACTGTAGTGATTTGTACATGTTAGATCTTTGTATGTTGTTTTTCTAATTGTTACTTATTGAGTATGTGACTACATATTTTAATAAAAGACATTTTATATCTAAATTCTTGCTGTTTTTAATATTAAAAAGCACACCAAAAGTCAAAATCCTAAAAATATCACGATCGTGCGCTATTAAAGTTAGCCCATACGTTACGATCGTGCAGGGGTATTTACGGAAGTTGGGGATGTTTTGGATTTCTTTTATTAATTTTTACGCAAACCTTTGGTTCGCCCAACAGATTCCATGAAAAAATAACAATAATATTAAAAAAAAGATTTAGGGCCCGAAAAGGATATATAATTATTCTGTCCGTGCGTGTGACTGAACTTCTAATGGACTAGAGGCTGGACCGATGTTTATGAAATTCCGTGTGTGATCAAGTTGATTGGAAAATCGTTTAGATTTACAATTGGACCCGGAAGGTGGCGCTGTTGGCAAAATCCAGAAATCGACTGCGCGAAGCGAAGCGGCGGCGCGGACCGTTAGAGTCATCATGATGTTATTTATTTATCATCAAACCAACTTGAAATAAAAATTGAAGTTGTTAATTATAATTGACTGCGTTTTCGACTTACTACTTAACTTTAATGAAGGTAAATTTTAGTTAAAAAAAAACATGTTTTAAGTACTAGATGACAGTCTTTTTCTAGACAAAACATTACTGTTGAAAACATTAGTTGTTATGACACTTAGTTTGTGTTGAGAGAAGTATATTTGTGTGTAATTTTTTAAATAAGTTTTTTTTTACTAAGCACGTTAGGCACGCTTTCCAAAACGAGATAACGGCGGAAAGCTATGGCGCTGATATATTGGTATAGTGTATCGGTATCTTATTATTATGAATAATAATTATAATTTAAAAAAAACGACTTCAAATTGCTAAAAAAGAAGTTATTTATTTGCAAGCCTTATGGGTGAAATTTGAACTCCAAATTTATATGGGATCACCCTTGCAGTATAAACTATTTAAGAAAAAAAATCATTATAATCGGTTCTTTCTCTGCGAAGATATAATATGAAATTACTTAAAGAATAGTCCAACATACAACTTTTTCCCCTATTTTCCACCCTTAGGGTAAAATCTTTTCTTTAAAATTTAATGTCACCCATGAGTAAAACCTATTTAATGAAAAAGAAATTATTACAATTGATTCACAATCTGCGAAGATATCGCGTAACATACATACAAGAAAAAGAACATACACTCGAATTAAGAACTACTTTTTTTTAAGTCGGGTAAAAATAAAAACCTTTTACAAAGATTTTTCCGAGAAGACTTGTTTGATATTTTTTTAACATAATAATTAGACACACATCTACAATTTCATATATGTACGCGAATTTTATTCCTTTTTTTTTTAAATATTAGTAATCTTATTAATTAACATTACTAATATTCCTTTTAACCACTCCTGGTAAGCTTGAAACGCTTGTGTCAGGAGTGGTTCATGACAGTAGTAAAACGTTGCAGACTCTCGAGTTCGCGATCAATGCTTTGCCATTAGGCTAGTGTCGCTGTCAATTCTTTGTTTCTTTTTCTTTAAAAAAACGTTACTTCCACACTAGGATTTTGTCCTGTATCGGGGGCAGTTTACAAACATAAATTTCACAAGGGCAACATCCAGATACGGAAAAATTACTTAGGCAATACAAATACTTACGTGCGGGATTCGAACCCGCGGCCTTTAGAAACTAACTCATTGCTAAGCCACTGCACCACGGAGCCGTCAAAAAATGGTATTATTGTTGTGTTATTATTCTATTCTATTACATTTTTGTAACTATACACTAAGTTAGCCGAATTGTATAACAATTTAACTGTTCCGGAATTATTGTCTTTTAAATGTTATAGACTATAAAATAGTAATTAGATCTCGTGAAAAACATAAGATATAATATAATGATATAATGATCCCGTGCTGTTAGGTCTTACAGCTAGATTCTTTAACCAGCTGAGCTCTATATCTTCCTCTGGGTGTGGTGAGAGAAATAAACGAGACGCGCAGCAGCTAATCTAATATATAAAAATAAATGTTCGTTTGTTCGTACTTTATGTGTTGACATACCGTTCATCAGATTGCGATAAACTTTGTCAACATATTGCTTGCACTTGCCTGAAGGTTATAGGCATAGATCAAGCAACTTACAGTAGGCGACGTGCGTATAGTACTGACAAATTTATTTGAAAGTCATGATGTCATTCAATTTTAATTAATATATTAATATTCTTAATTTAACAATATACTCGTAACCTCCAATTTTAAAACACTATTTCCACAATTATTATTATTTCTTCTGCCGCAGCAATACGACGGGTACCAGCTAATAACAACAGAAAAATTAAAGTATGAGGCTGTGGAGAGGCCTGGGTTTAGCACTGGACATTTTTTGATAGGCTGTTATGCATAAATTAATGAATGAACATCTCCATCAGCTCGTAATCAGTCTACTATTGTAGGAACAATCACCCATAATCACTCACATCACCACCAACTCGCATTTCAAGGCGATAACACCTGCATGAATTACACGTGCGTGAGTGCGTACATATCGCACGGACATCTGCGCACACGCGGGCACGTGTACGTGTGTACACTACACATTAAATGAAACTTATTTTACGGATTTTACCTACGAATAAAATACGGATAAAATCCGAAAGATTAGTGTAATTTAATGTACGAGTTATCTTTATAAATACATATCAAAATTTTTGTGTATACATTTGTTTAGCTACATGTGTAAACGTGTATCAAAGTTTTTTTAATCGGATCTTGTTGCGTTCGGATTTATGCATTTGATAAACTGTTCTAAAATATATTATCTGGATTCGACTAAGTATATTTTTCGATTTTGATTGGATTTATAATATATGCAATTGTTTTAAAGGGATATTACTTATTTTTATTAGGATTTTCTCCCGTTTCGTGGAGGTATTTTATATACATCTAGACAACTACATATTTTAGACACAGAACAGTTATTTGTAGACTATACAAATAAGCGTGTCTCGCGAGATTCAAACCCGCGGCTCACAACCACATCACAAAGAACCACAAAGAAGAAAATGTAGATAGAAGGAACTAGAAGGAACAAAAGACTGAAATAAAAAAGAATGTAGAACCACGCTGCAACTATATTACAGCTGCAGCACGAATGGATCAGCCCGACCGCAGGGCCCGCAGAATAGCAGCTCCATGCTGCTGTTTATCGTATGGTGAGTAAAAGTAAGTCTTCTCTTTTTGTGACAATGCGCCTGCGTTTTTATTCTTAACCGAGCGCACGACACGGTAAATTTTTTAACAATATACACACAAATATATATAAATACTATATATATACAAATTTTTAACTTAAGTTCAAATATATTAATAATGATATGTGGTTATAGCAGTTTTTGAAAATAAAACTTTATAAGGGTTCTATCTCATTCGAAAGTATCCCATTTTTGGCTATTCATCGACCATTACGAATGTGTGCGTGCGCAGTAACTTCAGTTAAAATAATGCATTAACACGCATTTTGAATTTCAAAGATAAAAAAGACAGAATGTTTGAGATTTTTTTTTAATTAATTTTCTTCATCATCTGCCTATATTACTTATTTTGAACCTACCCTGTATATTGTCTTTAGAAAATGTCCATATACATATGTTTTTATGCGTCACAACTAAATTATTTTAACATTATAAATAATATAACAAACAAATAGTGATTGGTTAAACACGTAAACGCATTTACATAATTTTAACTTCGCCTGACCCTGACTGTTTTCTAAGTGTTAATCACTGGTTACCTTATTTAAGGTAGACAATGATATCTTCTGTTCTATTCTACTCCTTATTGAACGAGAAAGGTTGAAGTTGTTTGTGGCATTATGGAAACCGAATGACGGTGGAGCCAAACGCATCATCACTACAGGCATGCGCCAAAGCGGTCTCGAAGTCTAGGGGAAGGTACACCTGGAATATAACGTGATGTTTTATTTATAAACTGAAATTCAAAACGAAATCGGGTGAGTTGCGTCGGGACACACGGCCGTTGGTATAACGTGAAACGTCTATTTTTTATATATTATAGCATTGGGTGACAAACGAGCACACTCCACCTGATGGTAAGTGGATGCTGTGGCCCATAGACATCCACATTTATCCTTAATTAAGAATCGAAATGCAAATGCGTTGTCACCCTTGAGGAATAAGATGGAATGCCTTTATTCCAGTAAAAATTGTCTTCGGTTCTTAGGACTCACCATAAGAATCACAGCAGTTATAAGCTGCTATTTTACGCTGGTATCCTGTGAGAGCGTGATTCTTCCCCGGTCGAGCCGACCCATTCGTGCTACAACTATAATATAGCTGCAACGTGGCTCTACCACGTAAAAACGTCAGCGAATCACTTTTAGTGTTAGGACGGTGAGAGAGCGCCGGTTTTGGTCAATGTGCACGTTGCGCTTTCCCGCCAACCCGCACAGCCTTCATGCAAACTCAAAGGACGTAACAGCAAGCTGACTATATAAGTTAAATAATGGCCCCTTCGTTTAGGTTTCTAAGAGTAACAGTTTTGTAATTTTTCGTTACGGTTCACTTATCTGATTTTTTTTATGGAAGAGGGGGCAAACGAGCATGCGGCTCACCTGATGTTAAGTGACTACCGCAGCCCATGATCAACCGCAACACCAGGGGAATTGCAGGCGCGTTGCCGGCCCTTTAGAAAGAAGTACGCTCTTTTCTTGAAGGTCTCCAGGTCGTATCGGTCCGGAAAAATCGCTGGTGGTAAACTATTCCACAGAGAGGTTGTACGCGGAAGAAAACTCTTGAAACGTACAGTGGTGGACCGCCAAGCATCCAGATGGTGTGGATGGTATCGGGACGTTTGCCGCGTAGTGCGTTCACGAAATTTGGCGGCTGGGATTAATCCGAACAATTCCTCAGAGCACTCTCCATGGTATATGCGAAAGAAAATGCAAATAGATGCAACATCTCTTCGCAGTGCCAGTGAATCGAGCCGATCGGAAAGCACTCGGTCGTCGACGATTCGAGCCGCTCTGCGCTGAATGCGGTCAAGTGGAAGGAGCTGGTACTGGGGAGCCCCAGCCCAGAGATGGGAACAGTATTCCATGTGCGGCCGAACCTGCGCCTTGTAAAGTTGCTTAAGGTGTGCCGGCATGAAATACTGTCCCGCTCTGCTGAGCACGCCAAGCTTTTTGGAGGCCAATTTGGCCTTCTCTTCCAAGTGACCACGAAACTGCACGTCACTCGATATGTCGACGCCGAGGATTCCAATATTGGCTGAGGCAACAAGGGGAGTGCCTTGAAACTGAGGAGATACGACAAAGGGGTTCTTTTTAGCGGTTAACACGCAAACTTGTGTCTTCTGGGGGTTAAACTGGACTAGATTTAGTCGCCCCCAATCCGAGACTCTGTTCAGCAAAGACTCGACTTCAGACACAAGTTTGTCCCGGCACTCGGAGACGTTTTCCCGAGAAATATTGGCTCGGCCGGTGTAAAGAGCATCACCAGTGCTGCCATCTGCATAGCAATGAAACAACATGGTTTGCAACATATCATTTATATGCAGAAGAAACAGCGTTGGCGATAGCACGCAGCCTTGTGGAGCACCAGCGTTAATAGGCTTGCAATCGGAGCTTGCACCGTCTACAACGACCTTGATGCCCCGATCTGCAAGAAAGCAAATACATTCATATATGAAACACTGACACGTATGACGTAGGTAATCAGTATTGTGACGATATTTCAGAAAAATCACGGGCCAGCCTGCTGTTAATAATACTATTGAAAACATAATTGCGTTTTTAAAATAATTAATTACTATACCTACGATAAATTACAATATAGTCTCAAATATATACTAGAGAAATATTGCAATTCGAATCAATGAAAACATACATACAAAATATGTATAATACACAAGAAATTCCGCGCGCAAATCATAGCTCGTGACAACCGAAATCAGAATATTATGGGTATGTTCCGAAATACAACGCAGTGTACTGTCCAATGCAAATGACGTCATGAATCGACGCTATACTGGTGATTCGTTCCAAAACATTGGACAGTATATGACGTCATACTTTTGCGCCATTTGGAAAAGTGTTGCGATTATTTTGTCATTTTGTGCTCCAAAAATCATTATATCCTCCTAATGGATATACCATCAATTATTCTATAATTTTTTGTATTTGAATAAATAGAAACAAATTCTGGCATGCTTTATTCGGCAAACACACAATTAAAAATTGTTTTATTATGGCCGGATATCCGACACAATATGGCGACACAAATTCCGCGGGCGAGAGACCAGAATGCACGGGTTCCAGAAGGAAGGCGAACTAGTTTCTCGCCAATTCTGCCTATGTGCTCTGACTTTGCCTTGGCAATGACTCTTTTGAAGGACCTAGAGGCGGAATTATACTTCTTTTTTAGAACGCTGGTGTTTACATCCCGGGACGCTGATGCGTCAGCCCAGGCTTGGTGGCATTCCTGTTTATATCATGATGCTATTTTACAGGAGCAACCAAACCATGGCTGAGATTTGCCTCCAATGGGCACCACAGAGGAAGGAATAAAAAGTTCCATACCCTGAAGTACCACATCAGCGACAGAATCTACAACAACGTTGGGATCGTCCGACGAGAAGCAAACCCGCCCCCAAGGGTAGGATGCAAAGAAAGACCGCATCCAATCCCAATCGGCTGACCTATAGTGCCAAACACGGCGGCAGCCTGCAGAATGCAACTGCGATTTCAGCGTGAGTGGCACCACACTCCGGACAAGACAATGGTCCGAGGAGCCTAAAGGGGCGTCGACGGAAATTTGATATCCGTCCGGGTGAGAGGTCAGCAGAAGGTCCAACAGGGAAGGTGCATGATCCTCCACCACCACCACCATAGTAACCACTTGTGTCAGACCATATGCCAAGGTAAAATCATGAACAGATCTCCCCCGCATGATCGGTTAAACGTGAACCAAGCCATTCGGCGTGATGAGCGTTAAAGTCGCCGAGGATCACGATCTCTGCGGAGGGGATCTGCTGTAGCAACGAATCTGTAGCCATTTGGACGTGGTCGAAGAGTCGGTCTGTTTCGGCATTACCGCTATGGGACCTATAGAGGCACCCGTAGACGCGCGGATGGTCGTCGCTGTCTACGCGTAGCCAAAGGATGGACAGGTCCGAACTTTCAAGTCTGCCGAGGAGTCGAGAACAGATGTCCTCTCTGACGTAAACGCAAACTCCAGCCCGAGGCACAAAGGAGTGTTCCAGTTTGTACCCCGGGTAGGAGAGATACGAGACATCTGCCGGAGAGGACACCTGCGTCTCGGTCAGAAAGAGCAGAGCCGGCCTCGCCGTCTCGAGATGGTAGTGGACGGCGTTTAGGTTAGAGTGAAGTCCCCTGATATTGCAGAAATTCACGGACAGCGTGGCAGGGGTCGCCTTGGTCTTGTTGCTCCGTTTGCCCCGAGCAGTTGTAGTCTTGAGCGGAATTTTGCTGTTGATTGTGTTACGGAGTGATTTTAAAAACGTTTCACGTTATAAAGAAACGCTGTATGATAATTTCTTATGTTTACGCTTTAAATAAAACAGATTTTATCGCTGATTTATGTTCCCGCTGATTCGCGTACTTTACAGTATCCATGGACATGGGAGGATCCCAAGCAGATGGCAGCACCCAGCCATCTTCTCTATTGAAATTAGGATATTTTTTGGAATGAATCATTGTTCTTTGTCAAGGATTTGTGATCTATGACATTATACCCGATAACATCCGTGAAAACTGAATGAGGTATATTGCAGCTCAGGTAATAAGCACACGCCATAATCTGAAAATATGGTAGAGTGATGCTACAGTTGTATTCTGGTTGTAGCACGAATATGTCGGTTCGATGAGGTTCTCGCTCTCACAGAATACCAGCATGAAATAGCAGCTGAATGCTGCTGTGTTGCGTATGGTGAGTGTAGAGAATCCGAGATCCTTTTTAATGGAAAAGAGGCATTCCATAGGCCTCAGGAGTGAAAATTTATCTGCATTTTGATGCTTAACCGGATAGATGTAGACGTATAAGGAGCATAGTATCCATTTACTATAAAAAATATTATTAAATATATTTACTAAAAAAAGAAGGTCAGGTTTTATTTCTCTTAAAGTATTATTAGGTTTTATTTTTCTTTAATTTTTCTTATAATGTAATTTATAGAAATGAATATGAATAAGTTACCTTTTTCAGCGATTTCAACCTTAACACTTCCACGGACGGTACGTGATTGTACGTCTTTTTGTAATAAATTGATACGGCGCAACGTATCATGACTTTCATAAAAATAAGATCATGTGCTGCGGAACGTTCATTACCGATGTATTTTCAAATAAAATTCTACGATTTGGACCTTGTGTCACAACATATCAAACACTGAACTTTACTGTCATATACAATAGATTTTTGACCATTTCAAAAATGTGTCCTTGGTCAATGTGTTGAACGCTACACACACACGCACAACGTATGATCACGTTGCGTGTGCCTCGCACGCCTCTCGCGTCCAGACATTTAGTCTGGCCGTGTCACGAGTGGGTGCGTGCGAGTTTTAGCTTCGCAGGAGCGATTCGTAGTAAACTTCGTCGAAACACAAAATAATCGTAAGTATTAGTTATGTAATTGTTTTATCGTTTCTTTGTTATTAACTGTATTGTAAATAACATGGCTCTATGAAACTGGTATCTTACTGGAAAACGCAAGACAAATCTGATGATGTTGATCCGTTCCAGAACGATTATAGGGACTAGAGATCGAATAAAAATTACGTATGATGACGTAGTGATATTACTACTATTCATCTACGTAATACGACATGATAGAATACGTATATGTATTGGATGTTATGTCCATAACACATCCTATTAATTGTACTAATTACGACAGAATGTATGATGACGTGATAAAACGTTTCTGTCATAAAGTCTTCAAAATATCTAATATAGTGCAGCACTTCGTGTATAAACGTCAAGTCTATTTATAAGGAAATGTATCGTGTCGTTCTACAACACGGATTCAACTGGTATCTGGTACCGTCCGTGAAAGTGTTAACAACCGTGTTCATGCATTGTGACGCGTAACCTAGTACGCACGTACCACGCATAAGGCCTGTTAGTGCGACAGAGAGCGCAACAGACGGCGTCTTGTTTCCCCATTTTATGGCACCGCGGGCAGCGAGTGTTTAACATTAGTACAGTAGAGAAATCCGTGTAAATACCTTATCCAGGGTGGGTGTGAGGTGGCCACTGTCGACCAGCTCCGCCAGCTCGCTGAGCCCGGCAGTGAGCCGCGCGCCGGGCTCCAGCCAGTCCGTGTGCGTGCCCAGCCCCACCGCCCACTGCACCGCCATGTTACAAAGATTAACTTTACATATTTAAAAAAATCGTTTACAAGTATAATACAAAACTACAACTAAAATGTTTTATCTTTTATTTCAACAACTTCGCAACAAAACATGTGAATGACCGTGATAATATACTACTAGCAGATTGTTGAGTCACTTTCTAAATCGATTACAACATTCCAAATTCAGTAATTCCTTTAATTTAATATGCTATAATAGTAACAGAAACTTTTTACTCAACAGATTATAAATAAAACTTATTCAAAGTTACTCTTATGTTTAATTTACCATTGCTTCATAAAATACCTCTGTAAAGGGAGGAATCGAAAACAAACCCAGCGGGACTTTTTTGAAATAAATAATATTAATATTTAAAAAAAACTTTTCAGTATTGTTAACTTAAAAAATAATTTATATAATTATATTTACCCTTAACATTCTGTATGTATAGAAAGAGGCGCTGAAGACGAGCCAGAGCGGGGTTGGCAGCCTGTCAGTCAGGAGGGCTTTAGACCGGAGGTCAATAAAGGCACTTTTGGGAGCTGTCGACCTAAAAAAGAAAAAAAAATTTAAAATATCTATTTTTTATTACAGCTGGTAAACAACATTCAGTATCTAAAACCATCAAAAATTATGTAAGATGTAGATGCTGTATTTGTGGCCCATAAACATCCAGATCTATCCCCGATTAGGAATCAAAATGCAAATGCGTTGCCACCCCTGAGCACAAACACTAACTATTGCTCGCGCATGCAATCCCGTACTCTGTAGGTATGCGCTGGATGGAGTAGCTATGGCACGAGTAAACGAGGCTTAGGGATTGGGTGTTCGTTTCGCCTCAGTACTTAATTTTCAAAATCATATACATAGTGGACACCTGCGAGTGAGCGTATCGCAACTTAGGTTTCATACTGCGCAGGGCTTGTTGTTTCACTAAGATTAAAGCCATTTTAGTATTATATAACGCCATAGTTAGGGGCCAACTTGAGTGTAATGTTCAAAAGAATCCAAAACAAATTTGTTAGGTTTCTATATCTCAAACAGCATCCTTTTACCCACTTAAATATGAACCTTATTCGTTTTAGATATGGTGGAATATAATGAAATGCACCTTAAAACGCCTTATCCATGAGGAGCTTGACATGTACCTAGATCTGTGAGCGAATTCACAAAGGCTGCCTTATTTATAATATGTTACAATAATTAAAATGTTTACTGTTTTCACTGGCACATTAGGTCATGGGATTTATAAATATAATAAAATAAATAAAGTTAAAAACGGCTTCCGGTTCTCTACACTCACCATACGAAAAACAGCGGTAGAATTTCTATTTATAATGAAAGTTATGATTTACGGTAAATACCGCAGTATTTGGTATTTAATCGTTCATGATGATTAAACCGGTTACAGCTGGAGATCCTGTCCGGAGAGTACAATTTTGTCGATTTTTATTAAATGGTGACAGCGACGGTTAGGTATTTTTGCCGTGTTTTATAAAACGACGAATCACAGTTTACTGGAGAAGGTATAATCATCATCAATAGCCCTTCACAAGTCCACTGCTGAACATAGGCCTCCCCCAAGGAATGCCACAAAGCACGGTCCTGAGCCACCTGCATCCATCGACTTCCTGCATGTCTTACCAGGTCGTCACTCCATCTAATGGGGGGTCGCCCTGCAATACGCCTACCGGTACGAGGCTGCCACTCGAGAACCTTTCTTCCCCATCGGTTATCGGTTCTTCGAGCTATATGGCCGGCCCATTGCCATTTCAGCTTACTAATCCGTTGGGCTATGTCGGTCACTCTGGTTTTACTGCGGATATTCTTATTTCTGTGTTTATTACGCAGAGAAACTCCGAGCATAGCCCTCTCCATAGCTCGCTGAGCGACCTGAGCGTCCTCATACGGCCAGCAGTGAAGGACCACGTCTCAGATCCGTAAGTTATCACTGTCAACACGCACTGGTTGTACACTTCAGTTTTCAGAAATTGAGGTATAGCTGACGAGAAGATGTGTTCCTTCTCTTCCTTGTTTTTGGATGTCTAACGTATAATTCGATTTGGTGGATCATGAGGTATATAAACTTCCATAACCTGCATGAATAGGCCGATAAAGAAGCAAAACCACATTGAAAGAAACAAGTTTCTTTCGAAAGAAAATTTGCAGTAAATGTGTGTTGGGCATCATTTTGTCCCGGAATCTTTAAATGAAGACAATTAAACTTAAACTCTAACATTTATTGCTAAACCATAATGTACATAAGATGTTATAAAATAATGTAAGACCAGTGTTATGGATCCTGTCGGGCACGCAATTTAGGGGCTTACAGAATTACTTGCAGCATTACAGCATTACTTGGTTTGTAGAAAATGATTTGTCCAATCTACTGGATGAAGTGTCAATAATGAAAACTGACACAGAAATAATCTATCGAAATGATGGCTGCCATGCGCACTACCGAGTTACAGTCAGGATATATTTAGATAAATGTTTTCTTAACAGTTTGATTAGAAGAGGAAGGTCGGTGTCCAGGCTTGTTCGATCGCCGGATTTGAGCCCTATGGATTTTCATATGTGGGGTTGAGTCAAAGAGCTGGTTTATACTAAAGAAATAACGACTCGGGAACATATAATAGAAAAGATTAATGAAGCGTTTGAATAAAAAAAAAGAATAAAGAGATGTTATTAAAATAATTAATACTGAAGTGCGAAATAGACCCGAAATGTATTAGCGATCGAGGTTCACAATTTAAATATGAATAATAAATGAGTTGGTTATGAAGAATGTTTTATTTACAAACCAGTTTAAGTTGCATTAATTAAAATACTACTGGGACTAGGATAAAGTCAAGTATTCTTTGCAGGGTTGTAAATGACATTTGTGATACCGAACTTAGGGTTGGTTATAAACTCGGTTCGGTTTAGTTTTGTGAAATAGGCAAGTATCTTTATGTACGATAATAAAATAAATCAATAGAAAAGGTGTGAGTTTTAAGTATTTTTAAAAATGTTTGAATATGTAAGTTTACTATCGTTTTCTTAAACGCGTTAAAAAGAGTAATTCTAATTGTCTTAAATATTTGAAAAGGAAAAATACTAACTCATCAGTATGTATCACTTAGTTAACGATGAGTGAATGTGTTAAGCTAAGATAAAAACAAGGTTTTATGTACTGATATTTGATTGTAACTGGTTTGATCGTTACGAACGTTTAAATAACAAATTATGGGATATTCGCATGTCTTAGAATTTCAAGTTAAAGTCATAATTTTCACTATATTGACTTGAAATTCTAAGACACTAGGTTAGGGTAACACGCTCAAAAAATGTGTCCCACGAGGTCCCCCTTCTCTCAATGCTTTACATCAAGCCTCCGAATAGCCTGTACAGCTGCGTGTCAGTGCGTACAGCTGCGTATCAGTGCATACAGCAGCGTGTCAGTAAGTACAGCAGCGTGTCAGTACGTACAGCAGCGTGACAGTACGTACAGCAGCTTGTCCGTGTGTACAGCAGCGTGTCAGTACGTACAGAAGCGTGTCAGTACGAACAGCAGCGTGTCAGTATGTACAGCAGCGTGCCAGTATGTTCAGCAGCATGTCAGTATGTATAGCAGCGTGTCAGGATGTACAGTAGCGTGTCAGTATGTACAGTAGCGTGTAAGTACGTACAGCAGCGTGACAGTACGTACAGCAGCTTGTCAGTATGTACAGCAGCGTGTCAGTACGTACAGAAGCGTGTCAGTACGTACAGCAGCGTGTCAGTATGTACAGCAGCGTGTCAGTATGTTCAGCAGCGTGTCAGTATGTATAGCAGCGTGTCAGTACGTACAGCAGCGTGTCAGTATGTACAGCAGCGTGTCAGTACGTTTAGCAGCGTGTCAGTATGTACAGCAGCGTGTCAGTACGTACAGCAGCGTGTCAGTACGTACAGCAGCGTGCAGTATGTACAGTAGCGTGTCAGTACGTACAGCAGCGTGTCAGTATGTACAGCAACGTGTCAGTACGTTCAGCAGCGTGTCAGTATGTACAGCAGCGTGTCAGTACGTACAGCAGCGTGTCAGTACGTAAAGCAGCGTGTCAGTATGTACAGCAGCGTGTCAGCACGTACAGCAGCGTGTCAGTTCGTACGGCCGTGTCAGTATGTACAGCAGCATGTCAGTACGTACAGCAGCGTGTCAGCACGTACAGCAGCGTGTCAGTACGTACAGCAGCGTGTTAGCACGTACAGCAGTGTGTCAGTATGTACAGCAACGTGTCAGTAAGTACAGCAGCGTGTCAGCACGTACAGCAGCGTGTCAGTATGTACAGCAGTGTGTCAGAACGTACTTGAGCAGCGCAGGCACACTGCGGGAACGCGCGCGAGGACTACCGGCGCCCTCGCAGCACAGCAGCGCGTCACACGGCCCGTTACGGTACACTAACTGTTCCTGTACAGCAGCGTGTCAGTACGTACTTGAGCAGCGCGGGCACGCTGCGGGGGCGTGCGCGCGGGCTGCCGGCGCCCTCGCAGCACAACAGCGCGTCCCACGGCCCGCGTCGGCACGCGAACTGCTCCACAGCGTCCCAGCTCCACACCGCGGGATCGTTCGTGTCCAACTCTATAAACTCTGTCGCTCCTGCAACAAGCGATGGAAAACAATCATCAAAATCGTGATAATTTTTTTACGAATAACGTGTTTCTACAGAGCGTCATTGAATCTTAAAGACTTTGTCATGGATGCTCAAGCCAGGGGGTCGGGGTCCGGGTAAGACAAGAAACAAATGTGTGAATGTGTATGATATTTATAAGAAACATGTAAGGCTACAATAAAGACTACAAAGCTAGATAATTCTTAAGCATAATTTACATTGCTCTTAGCAGTAAAATAAGTAAGCATTTAATACTTAGCAAAATCTAAAGCTACACATTAATTGCACCGTTGCACTTATAAAATTAACGTTCCACAAATATAAGCTTCTATTTAAAATATATAAGGTTCACTGATATACAGTTTTAATATATTTAAGCAAACTTATACGCCTTTAAACTTTAAATGTCTGACAAGTATCACCGCTACGTCGTACTATTCTTTACTCTCACGACTCGTCGCGAACTCGACCCTCAGCCGTTTCTCCACAGTTCCTACCAATCCTTTTATCAAGTTCGGAAATAAGTCCCATCTCAATTATCATCACATATCCCCCCTCAACAATTAGAATCCAACCGGATTCAGCCAGGCCTCAAATTACCCGTTTCAGGTCAGAAGCGTGCCATGTACCCAAATGTTTGCCCCTTACACTTTTTAGGATATAAACATCGGACGATACTCTATCCGAAATTATAGCCTTTTCGTACTTTGGAGATAACTTGGCCATAAAGTATTTATCAGCACATGATTGTGGTTTTGTTTTCTTCCAAACCAACTCCCCAACATTAAAATTGCATATTCGCCTTCTTTTATTATAATTTTTGCTATTGATTTCATAAGCCTCTCGCAGCCTTTTGTTTACATCTTTGTATATCTCTTCTCTAAGTGTTAAATTATTTTCGAAATATTTTCTATTTACATTAACATAATCATCTTTATCTGGTCCGAAATCTATTTTGTTTTGTAAGGAGGTTTCTCTACCAAAAAACAAGTATGAAGGAGTCTTGCCAGTTATTTCATGTATAGCAGTTCTAATGGCGTGGCCTATATGAGGTACAAACTTATCCCAATCTTTATGATTATCTTCAATATATGACGCTATTGCTGTACCAATTACTCTATTTACTCGTTCTGTAGGATTGGCTTGAGGATGATAATAAGGCGTATACCAAATTTTTGAGTTGTAGTTTGTAATTAATTCTTTAAATTGTGATGAAATAAACTGTTTCCCATTATCACATATTACTGTCTTTGGTCCTCCAAATACGAGAAATATCTGTTCTTCAATAATTTTAACAATAGTTGATGTTTTACCATTTTTCAAAGGAAATAATAATGCAAACTTGCTAAACCAACACGAAACTACAAGCAACATTGTATTTCCTGTCTTTGATCGCGGAAAAGGACCCATTAAGTCCATGGAAACTATTTGGAAGGGCTCTGTCACATCTTTATGTTTACCCATTTTTCCAATTGGCGGCAGTTGACTAGGTTTATGTTGAGAACAAGTCTCACATTTCCGTACATAATCTTTAACATCTTTAATTAAGGTAGGCCAGAAATAATGTTGTCTTGCTCGGTTTATAGATTTTTTAATTCCTAAATGTCCTGCTGTTGGACTGTCATGGCATTCTACTAGTACATGTCTTTTCAATTTTTCAGGAACTGCTATTTTCCACGAATCTTTTTCATCCGGAAATTGTTTCAGTTTCAAATATTTCCATAAAATACCTCGATTAAGCATCCAATCATCTCTGTCTTTTCCTTCCGATATTTCTTTTTCAATTGACTTGTACCAGCTATCTTTGTCATCTGGTTTAATATCTATAATGTTTATTTCCTTATCTGGAATTGCTCTTGATAGTGCATCCGGTACAAGATTATCCTTACCTTTTCTATATATCACCTCGATCAAATTGTTGTAACCTCATTGCCCATCTAGCCAACCTTCCATGAGGATCCTTATTCTTGTAAAACCATTGCAAGGCGCTATGATCCGTTGTGACCTTAAAGTGCGTGCCTTCTATGTACGGCCTAAATTGTTCAACCGCGTGAATCACACTTAGTAACTCTCTCTCGGAAGTAGAGTACTTTGTCTCTCTTTCCGAAAATTTTCGGCTAGAATACGCAACTGGTCTCTCAATACCATCACGAGTTTGAAATAATACAGCACCCGTACCTTTGTTTCAGGCATCACACTGTATAATAAATCCTAAGTTGAAATCAGGGCAACTCAGTACCGGAGTAGTAGTTAGCGCCGTTTTGAGATCAATGAAAGCAGTTTCAGCTTCTGCATTCCATTGAATTTTCTGACCTTTTTTCAGACCTTTAATGAGATCGTGTAAAGGAGTTGCAACAATTGCAAAGTTCTCTACAAAACGTCGATACCAACTCGCAAGTCCTAGAAAACGTTTTAACTCTGTATATGTGTTTGGTCTTGGATAGTTTAAAATAGCTCTTACTTTTTCTGGGTCTGTCCTTAAACCTTCTTTATCCACAATATAGCCTAAGTACTTTAACGACGGACGAGCAAACTGACACTTCTCAAAATTTACTGTGAGACCTGCTGAGAGCAACTGCTTTTTAACCCAAATCAACGATCTAATGTGTTCTTCAAAAGTCTTACTACATACCACAATGTCATTCAAATAAGCAAAGATTTTACCCTCATGCTCTGGCAGAAATAACTTGTCCATTAGCCTCTGTTGCGTTTGACCTGCATTTTTAAGACCGAAGGGCATGACCTTGAATTGAAATAAACCCTTACCCGGCAAACCAAATGCGGTTTTTTCTTTACTTGTAGTTTCTAATGGTATCTGCCAGAAAGCCGATTTCAAATCAAGAGTTGATAGATACCGAGCATTCTTTAGACCGTCTAAAATAGAAGTAACTCTTGGCAGGGGATAGGAATCATTCTTTGTTGTCTTATTTAGTTGTCTACTATCTAAACATAATCTATTAGAGCCTGATGCCTTTTTTTACTAAAAGTACCGGTGAACGCCATGAACTAAATGATGGTCATATGTCTTTTGCCAACATTTCATCTACTTCATTTTCCAATTCCTGCATAATATGCGGTGAAAAGGGATATTGCCTTTGAGTGACGGGCATATGTTCTCCTGTATCAATGTAGTGCTTTATCAAGTTCGTTCTTCCTATACCTTCGCCTACCGAATGCCTTATATCTTCAACCACTAAATCTAAGGTTTTCGATTGATCCTCTGTCAACTCATGTCTTGATTTAACCGAATTGCTTATATTCATTGTTGCCAATTCACCATTAGATAATGTATGGATACTTTCATGTTTGATGATGTCTTCTGTATTTCCAATAGTGATATTAAAATGATCAAAGAAATTTATACCAAAGAGGAGATCATGTCTTAATTTATCCATAATGTTAAATTTTACCACTTTATACCGTTTTAAAAATTGTATTGGCAAATACATTACTGATTTAATATTGTAGGATGTTTCATACTGCCATGGAAACACTCAATTGAGGTATTTCATGGATTGAGAATCCCAGATCCATGAATTTACGACACAAGCCTCTAGAAATTACAGAAGAAGTGGCCCCTGAATCAAGTAATCCCAAGAAAGACCTGTTTAAAATTTTAACAAGAGCGTAATGACGATTGTCATTGCCTTTTGATACGATATTACATAACTGACCAGTTTCAAAGTAATGAGAAACAACCTTTAACCAATTCTGCCATTCTTCATCTTTAATACTTGAAGCTGTCTTGGAGATCATTTGGCAGGAGTAATGACCTCCTGTTTTTCGTTTCCCGAACACATACAATTTTTTACCGTTTGGCCAAATTTGCCACATTTATAACAAAATAACCTTTGACGAGGTAGCGTACAATTTTTAAACGTGTGACCAGCAACACGACAATTCCAGCACTTTATATTTTGCAAGCCAAAATTTCTTCCCTTAGCTGTTTGCGTTACCTCATTTACTTCCGCAAGAGAGTGTCCTTGATATGCTAGGTCCGGCTCCAGCGCATTACTAGTGTTTGTTGGCTCTTGGAAGTTTTCACAGTTAGTTCTTGTGCGTTCTAGGACTCTTAACACCGACGTCAATTCTGATACGCTTTTAAACTGATCTCTACAAACTGCTAGTTGAAAATATGGCTGTATATTCTTCAACAAGATCGAAAGTTTTAGTTCTTCATTAATTTTTTCTTGGAAGTCTGTTAAACATATTCTGCATAACAGCTAGATAGATAGCAATCTTTTCTCCTTTACCTTGAGTTCTTTTCTTTATTTCTTCTAATAACTCGTCCTGATAATAGGGCCTCTGAAAGGTAATTAAAAGAAGATTAACTAATTCTTCCCAACTGTTCACGTATTCACGGTTAGCTCTAAACCATATAAGCGCATCACTTTCAAAGAAATCCACAGCATACCTCCACAAATCATTTGTATTAGCATTACGTGCTTCTCTAAGTTCAGCTATCCTTTCCAGGAAGGCATTAACGCTTACGTCACCCTTGCTGGAAAATTTTACCCCCAATCTTTGATTGGCACAAGTTTTCTAAGACCTAAGTCATTTTCTACGATAGATAGATGTGATGTCTTTTCTGGGCATTCCTGCATGTTAAAATAATTCCTCTCTTTTGAACTGTAACTAGTTTCTGGCTCTGTAGTTCTATGTTTTGATTGTAGGTCAATATGTGTGAGTATCTCTATTGCTTCTTCTCCAGGACTACGATGCAGTATTTCTTTATCCTTTTTAGATATCTCTGCTTCACCCTCACTTATATCTTCATCTTTCATATCCTTTGGAACTACTGCCCCATGAAGCGTTTGAACATCCTTACATAATTTTAAATGACGGTCTATCTCTGATTCATTAGGGATAATTAGTTTGACCCGGTTGAGCAGGTGTTGGAGGCGCGAAGCTAACCGCTTTTTTATATCACCATCTGGATCTTCATCGAAGGCCGATCTTAGAAATTGCAATTTTTTTTCACAAATTTCAATCTGAGACAGGGCGTCCTTTGTACAACAAGACGGTACAACTACGTTTATACTTGAATCGCCTTCCCGCTCTCTTATAAAAATTTGTTTAAGGACTTTACGCATAGCTTTAACTGTTTCTAAGCCCCGAATACCACGGCAAGCCAATTCAAATTCAAGTTCATCCTTCAATAAATCGTGGACATTAATTTTATCCATTTTTTTTAAATAAACTGTTTATCTATTTATCAAAATAACAGAAAAAAACTTTTTTTAAGATAGTAAAAAGGTTACCATACCTACACCTCATGTAAATACATAAAATGCTATATGTCACAATAATTAACAATACGCATTATAAGGCAATAACTAACCTACAAACACAAAGGCAATTGTTTCTATGATCTTTACCCGTGGGCGCCATTTGTCATGGATGCTCAAGCCAGGGGGTCGGGGTCCGGGTAAGACAAGAAACAAATGTGTGAATGTGTATGATATTTATAAGAAACATTTACATGTAGCCACGGCTACAATAAAGACACTACAAAGCAAACTACTAGATAATTCTTAATCATAATTTACATTACTCTTAGCACTAAAATAGGTAAGCATTTAATACTTAGCAAAATCTAAAGCTACACATTAATTGCACCAACCAAACCATGTCATAGCAATGGATCGCGTGAGCACGGCCGGGTAGCTACGGCTACGCACGATAAATATGCCACACAGTTGTTATTATGTGTTATTTATGATAATTACTGCGAACATTAAACAAAAATCAGTATTAGAACGTTCGCGGTTTACAAAACAAATAACTACTCTTCTTGCTCGCTCGCAGTCGACTAATGAGTTACGGAGAATTCACCATAACTTAGCGCGCAATATATTAAAGTCGCAGAGCTCATCTAATAGTATATATAAGTCTTTATTCAATCTAGTAGCCGGTAGATAGAAGTAACCAATAAATAGGCAGACCATCTGACGTTAAATGTATAGTGTTGCTTAGAAACATCTGTAATTAACTATAAATCCAAATGCAGATGTATTGTCACCACTGACATCTAAGATAGAATACCTCATTTGTACCAGCAAATAGGTTCTCTACATTCATCATACAAAATGCAGACGATTACATTACTTATTTACGCAAGTATCCTGTGTGAGAGTGGTTCTTCCCCAACTAAATAGTTATAGGGCGACCTCTTATGACAATTAAGTTTCTTTCCTGTAATAAGCCAGTAATTCTCTGCTACCGTGCTGGATAGTAAGTGGTGACACAACCGAAAATGGTATAACCCACTGCCTTAGTTTAACGAAAACCTTCTCACTCATAGCCTTAAAGACACTCACCTCATAATCAGATGAAAAAACAGATGCTGGCTTATTTCACTCCTTTACTGTACGCCCTACCCCCTTATTGTCGACATACTACACATTTGAACATAATACTAATGTTCAAATGTGTAGTATGTCGACAATAAAGGGGTGACAAACAGCCGAGTATCTAATGGTCTGATGATGGAATGGAGAAGGAGGAAGTTAGTCTTGCAATTTCTGCGCACATAAAAACTTCATGCTAAAATTCTTTCCTCTTTTCAACAGCGTCGAAGGGTAATTTTATACTATCGCGGTCACCTCGTTTATTGGCTCTAGAATATAGAAAAGTCGTCTAATTTCGATGATTTTTTTCACATCTTCATTATCACGGCGTATTTACGAAAAAAATTACAATAGGTAAAAAAAATGAAAACTTATATTGGTTTCAAGGCTTTAAATGTTCATGAAAATGCACTCATTCACGTATTTGTTGATAACTTTTTTTAAAATAATCAAATAAAGTTGTTATATTTTTTTGTTTTGGTTTTTATTGAGTGTAAGATCGAGCGATGCGAGCTCGGGACTTAGGGCATCCCGAATCGGACAGATTAGGTTAGAAAGAGATGGCGGGTCGAGTGAGCGAGCGAATAGACCGCGCCATCTCCTCCGTGGTTATATTTTTTTATAAACCACTCAGAAGCAGCGGCCCGGCCAAAGCGGGGCTCCGTCAACCGGGCTACCCTCAACTGCGCTACGTTGCGTGGTGCTTCCATCCCCCAACTCTCTCCCGCAGCGCAGTCAGGGGAGCCAGGTCGACGGGACGTTCCACAAGGCTGCGTGCTTTCGCCTAACCTGTTTCTTCTGCATATCAATGATACGTTACAAACCCGTGACATTGCTTGCTACGCAGACGACAGCACTGCTGATGCTTTATATAACGGCCGCTGCTAGTATTTTTCGGGAACATGTCGTCGAGTGCCGAAACAAAGTTGCGTCTGAAGTCGAGTATAATACTCCCTAGCTCCTAAAACTGTAGTCTGTGTTTGTGTCGCCGCATTTCATAACTACGTCAAATTTCAATCAGCTACATGTGAGTCCGTGAAGTCGCGGTAGCTCAGTTGCTTAGCGCTCGCTGTGAATTTCACAGTAGAGGAGTAATCCGGGTCCGATCCCCGCAGGCACCAATGAAATTGTTGATTGTAGTTTTAAGCGCTGATTTACCACGTATTCTGTGGTGAAGGAAATTATCATAAAAAAAACCACCAAGCCTAAAAAAAAATGAAGAGATTTGAAATTCGCCAACACGCATTGGGGCAGCGCGGCGGAAACTTCCTTGCCCTAAAACCCTCTCAAAAGTGAGAGGTGGCTTATGCCCAGCAGTGGAATGTATATAGCCTATAACTTTTACATGTAGCACGTTCTGAGAAAATCCATTGTGACAGACAAACACTGAGGTGACCTTATAATTGTTCGAAATACTATTGATACTCAATTTGAAACTTACCAAATTCATACAAGATATTTTGGTATTTTCTCGGCGCGGTGACCGAAGTCTTAGCTCCTTTGCGACTGAGCAGCTGCAGCAAAGCCAAACCTTCACCAGTAGTCGCGCCGAGGATAGCCACTCTAAGTAAGAGTATTTAGTTTTATAGTTAAGGAGTCCAAAGGTTAAAACTTTAAAGGTCAAAAAAATTTCATGAAAAGAAAAAGTTTTAGATGTCAAACAACTGTCCTTTCTTTAATCGCACTTTTCGGGGACCACGCCTTCTCTGCACACCAGCGTAAAATAGCAGGTCAGTCTCGTATGATGAGTCAAGAGAACTGGATATCCTTTTTACTGGAAACGAGTCTCCATCTAAGTCTTCAGAGATGACACATCTGCATTTTGATTCTTAATCGAGAATAGATGTACATGTCTATGGGCCACAGTACTTACCAACGGGTGGACTGTGAGCTCGTCTGTCCCCGTATGCTATAAACAAAGAACAACGTAACGGTGTACTGACCTCTTCCCCTTCCACTGCTCGTCTGCGTAAGGTGATGTCTGTAGAGCGTGTATTGCGAAGGTCCCCGCCCACGGTAATGATGCAGCCACGTCCGCACTCAGCCCTCGAGGACGTTTGCTCACCCTTGAACTGGAAAACACAAACTGAGATGAAAACATTAACGTGGTAGAATAGTTGTTTTTAACCTTTTAGTAATGAGGGACCATTTGAAGTATTAAAGCTTTTATTATCATTTTAGATGTCAAATTACCTTATACTTATTAAAAGACATCTTTTAAATCTGATTTCATTCGTTATAGAATGTAAGCATTTGTAAAGTAGTAGTTACTATAGCTCTATAATGATATATACTTTTATTATTGAACTATATTGCTTACAGTTCAATCATAATAATATATACTACGGCCCGATATAAACAAATCGAATATGTACTAAGTTTCCTTCAATCCCCGTTCGTGTGACGTAAACCAAAGCTTACTATCGCTCGCTCGTGCGTTGTACGAGAGCAACCGAACCGCGATTCTGCGATCTATACTTATAGAATAAGGGAGACAAACGAGCACACAGTGCACTTGCTGGTAAGTCGATACTGTGACTCACAGACTAAATTTATCCTTGTTTAAAAATCAAAATGTAGATGCGTTGTCAACCCTGGGAACCAATATCAAACGCCTCATTGCCAGTAAAAGGGTCTCCAGTTATCTACACTAACCATACACATTTTGCTGCATTAAGCTGATATTTTACGGTTAGGTACATGCGCTTAATCTTACGTCACTTCGAGCCAGCACGTTTATTCACCTATCGTTTTACTATAGTCTAATATTTTAAACACTTTTGGAGTAAGTTAATAGTACAATAAGACAATAGTACCTTATATTGTTAAAAACCCATATTGGAGTCCCAGGAACGCCCTACGAGCTCCCGTAAAATTTACCACCTGAGAGTCTTGCATGACTTAGTCGACAACTCCACACCGGGTTACGTACTCGGTCGGCCAAGCACGCACGACGAGCTGTGCACCCACGACCATATTTTTTCCGGAAACCGTATGTGTGTGTGTATCCATGACCGCTAAGTGACACCAAGTATTAAAAAGTGTAGCAAAAGCATGGTGTACCTGCCAACCGCAAACTTCACAAGCAAGTGTAGCAGTTTGTTTGGGCGGCTAAGGCGGCGATGGCATCTGTGGAAGCAGTTATTAAGACCGTGTAACTGTACAGCATGAGCAGCTCACTGGTAGCGCCACCGCAACACTCGCTGAGGCAGCCCCACACTTCGTTGCTCAGCTGCAACGTGGTGACAGTGGTGGCAGTGGCCGTGTACCTGCGTAGCGTGAGCAGCTCGCTGGCAGCGCCGCTGCACCACTCGCTGAGGAAGTCCAATACCTAGTCGCTCAGCTGCAACGTGGTGGCAGTGGCCATATACCTGCATAGCGTGAGCAGCTCGCTGGCAGCGCCACCGCTCCACTCGCTGAGGCAGCCCCACACCTCGTCACCCAGCTCCAGCGCCACGCCCGGCCCCGCGTCCAGCACCACGCCTGCAAATTCAAAACCCTGCCTTGTAATCTGAATTCTTTGAACAAGTATATTTGAAAAATAAAAAAAAATTACATTTAAACTATGGTTGAAATGAAACTACGAATCCAGATATAGGTTAATAAATGCAATTTATTGGCACAAGTACCAGCGAACCCACGTCCGATGCAGAGCTGTGAGCGTGCGTACAGTGAAGTGCACAAGAACCGGCGAACCCGCGTCCGCTGCAGAGCTGTGAGCGTGCGTACAGTGAAGTGCACAAGTACCGGCGAACCCGCGTCCGCTTCAGAGCTGTGAGCGTGCGTACAGTGAAGTGCACAAGTACTGGCGAACCCGCATCCGCTTCAGAGCGGTGAGCTTGCGTACAGTGAAGTGCACAATTACCGGCGAACCCGCGTCCGCTGCAGAGCTGTGAGCGTGCGTACAGTGAAGTGCACAAGTACCGGCGAACCCGCGTCCGCTTCAGAGCTGTGAGCGTGCGTACAGTGAAGTGCACAATTACCGGCGAACCCGCGTCCGCTGCAGAGCTGTGAGCGTGCGTACAGTGAAGTGCACAAGTACCGGCTAACCCGCGTCCGCTTCAGAGCTGTGAGCGTGCGTACAGTGAAGTGCACAAGTACCGGCGAACCCGCATCCGCTTCAGAGCTGTGAGCGTGCGTACAGTGAAGTGCACAATTACCGGCGAACCCGCGTCCGCTGCAGAGCTGTGAGCGTGCGTACAGTGAAGTGCACAATTACCGGCGAACCCGCGTCCGCTGCAGAGCTGTGAGCGTGCGTACAGTGAAGTGCACAAGTACCGGCTAACCCGCGTCCGCTTCAGAGCTGTGAGCGTGCGTACAGTGAAGTGCACAATTACCGGCGAACCCGCGTCCGCTGCAGAGCTGTGAGCGTGCGTACAGTGAAGTGCACAAGTACCGGCGAACCCGCGTCCGCTTCAGAGCTGTGAGCGTGCGTACAGTGAAGTGCACAAGTACCGGCGAACCCGCATCCGCTTCAGAGCTGTGAGCGTGCGTACAGTGAAGTGCACAATTACCGGCGAACCCGCGTCCGCTGCAGAGCTGTGAGCGTGCGTACAGTGAAGTGCACAAGTACCGGCGAACCCGCGTCCGCTTCAGAGCTGTGAGCGTGCGTACAGTGAAGTGCACAAGTACCGGCGAACCCGCGTCCGCTTCAGAGCTGTGAGCGTGCGTACAGTGAAGTGCACAATTACCGGCGAACCCGCGTCCGCTGCAGAGCTGTGAGCGTGCGTACAGTGAAGTGCACAAGTACCGGCGAACCCGCGTCCGCTTCAGAGCTGTGAGCGTGCGTACAGTGAAGTGCACAATTACCGGCGAACCCGCGTCCGCTTCAGAACTGTGAGCGTGCGTACAGTGAAGTGCACAATTACCGGCGAACCCGCGTCCGCTGCAGAGCTGTGAGCGTGCGTACAGTGAAGTGCACAAGTACCGGCGAACCCGCGTCCGCTTCAGAGCTGTGAGCGTGCGTACAGTGAAGTGCACAATTACCGGCGAACCCGCGTCCGCTGCAGAGCTGTGAGCGTGCGTACAGTGAAGTGCACAAGTACCGGCGAACCCGCGTCTGCTTCAGAGCTGTGAGCGTGCGTACAGTGAAGTGCACAATTACCGGCGAACCCGCATCCGCTGCAGAGCTGCGAGCGTGCGTACAGTGAAGTGCACAATTACCGGCGAACCCGCGTCCGCTGCAGAGCTGTGAGCGTGCGTACAGTGAAGTGCACAAGTACCGGCGAACCCGCGTCTGCTTCAGAGCTGTGAGCGTGCGTACAGTGAAGTGCACAATTACCGGCGAACCCGCGTCCGCTGCAGAGCTGTGAGCGTGCGTACAGTGAAGTGCACAATTACCGGCGAACCCGCGTCCGCTGCAGAGCTGTGAGCGTGCGTACAGTGAAGTGCACAAGTACCGGCGAACCCGCGTCTGCTTCAGAGCTGTGAGCGTGCGTACAGTGAAGTGCACAATTACCGGCGAACCCGCGTCCGCTGCAGAGCTGTGAGCGTGCGTACAGTGAAGTGCACAATTACCGGCGAACCCGCGTCCGCTGCAGAGCTGTGAGCGTGCGTACAGTGAAGTGCACAAGTACCGGCGAACCCGCGTCTGCTTCAGAGCTGTGAGCGTGCGTACAGTGAAGTGCACAATTACCGGCGAACCCGCGTCCGCTGCAGAGCTGTGAGCGTGCGTACAGTGAAGTGCACAATTACCGGCGAACCCGCGTCCGCTGCAGAGCTGTGAGCGTGCGTACAGTGAAGTCCACAATTACCGGCGAACCCGCGTCCGATACAGAGCTGCGAGCGTGCGTACAGTGAAGTGCACAATTACCGGCGAACCCGCGTCCGCTGCAGAGCTGTGAGCGTGCGTACAGTGAAGTGCACAAGTACCGGCGAACCCGCGTCCGCTTCAGAGCTGTGAGCGTGCGTACAGTGAAGTGCACAAGTACCGGCGAACCCGCGTCCGCTTCAGAGCTGTGAGCGTGCGTACAGTGAAGTGCACAAGTACCGGCGAACCCGCGTCCGCTGCAGAGCTGTGAGCGTGCGTACAGTGAAGTGCACAATTACCGGCGAACCCGCGTCCGCTGCAGAGCTGTGAGCGTGCGTACAGTGAAGTGCACAAGTACCGGCGAACCCGCGTCCGCTTCAGAGCTGTGAGCGTGCGTACAGTGAAGTGCACAAGTACCGGCGAACCCGCATCCGCTTCAGAGCTGTGAGCGTGCGTACAGTGAAGTGCACAATTACCGGCGAACACGCGTCCGCTGCAGAGCTGTGAGCGTGCGTACAGTGAAGTGCACAAGTACCGGCGAACCCGCGTCCGCTTCAGAGCTGTGAGCGTGCGTACAGTGAAGTGCACAAGTACCGGCGAACCCGCGTCCGATGCAGAGCTGTGAGCGTGCGTACAGTGAAGTGCACAAGTACCGGCGAACCCGCGTCCGCTGCAGAGCTGTGAGCGTGCGTACAGTGAAGTGCACAAGTACCGGCGAACCCGCGTCCGCTTCAGAGCTGTGAGCGTGCGTACAGTGAAGTGCACAATTACCGGCGAACCCGCGTCCGCTTCAGAGCTGTGAGCGTGCGTACAGTGAAGTGCACAATTACCGGCGAACCCGCGTCCGCTGCAGAGCTGTGAGCGTGCGTACAGTGAAGTGCACAAGTACCGGCGAACCCGCGTCCGCTTCAGAGCTGTGAGCGTGCGTACAGTGAAGTGCACAATTACCGACGAACTCGCGTCCGCTGCAGAGCTGTGAGCGTGCGTACAGTGAAGTGCACAAGTACCGGCGAACCCGCGTCCGCTTCAGAGCTGTGAGCGTGCGTACAGTGAAGTGCACAATTACCGGCGAACCCGCATCCGCTGCAGAGCTGCGAGCGTGCGTACAGTGAAGTGCACAAGTACCGGCGAACCCGCGTCCGCTGCAGAGCTGTGAGCGTGCGTACAGTGAAGTGCACAAGTACCGGCGAACCCGCGTCCGCTTCAGAGCTGTGAGCGTGCGTACAGTGAAGTGCACAATTACCGGCGAACCCGCGTCCGCTGCAGAGCTGTGAGCGTGCGTACAGTGAAGTGCACAATTACCGGCGAACCCGCGTCCGCTGCAGAGCTGTGAGCGTACGTACAGTGAAGTGCACAAGTACCGGCGAACCCGCGTCTGCTTCAGAGCTGTGAGCGTGCGTACAGTGAAGTGCACAATTACCGGCGAACCCGCGTCCGCTGCAGAGCTGTGAGCGTGCGTACAGTGAAGTGCACAATTACCGGCGAACCCGCGTCCGCTGCAGAGCTGTGAGCGTGCGTACAGTGAAGTGCACAAGAGCCGGCGAACCCGCGTCTGCTTCAGAGCTGTGAGCGTGCGTACAGTGAAGTGCACAATTACCGGCGAACCCGCGTCCGCTGCAGAGCTGTGAGCGTGCGTACAGTGAAGTGCACAATTACCGGCGAACCCGCGTTCGCTGCAGAGCTGTGAGCGTTCGTACAGTGAAGTGCACAAGTACCGGCGAACCCGCGTTCGATGCAGAGCTGCGAGCGTGCGTACGGTGAAGTGCACAAGTACCAGCGAACCCGCGTTCGATGCAGAGCTGCGAGCGTGCGTACAGTGAAGTGCACAAGTACCAGCGAACCCGCGTTCGATGCAGAGCTGCGAGCGTTCGTACAGTGAAGTGGACAAGTACCAGCGAACCCGCGTCCGATGCAGAGCTGCGAGCGCGTAGCAAGTGTGCGCAGCGCTGCGGCGCGGCCGCGCAGCACGGCGCGGTCGCACGCGCACACGCTAAACGCCTGCACGCGCACCAGCACTTCCCCCGCACCAGCACCTAAACAAATATCAAGTTATATATAAATAAAAATAAAAATAAAATAAGCCTTTATTGCTGAAACCTATAACAGGCATATAATAACATTTTTTGTCTCTACCTAGTATAAAACAACCCTTTCCAGCGTCTGTACGCTTAGACTACGCAACGGATGCGGTTTTCTTGATTCAAAAGGAATGTTTATATGTATATACATGCATATGTTGTCGAGATCCAAAAATCACCAATAGTAAACGATATATTAACTTTTAAGAGCGTAGTTGGTCTGCACGGGAATTGAAAAATAGGTATTTGAAGAAAATATTGCCACCGCGCTGCGCCAGAGCAACCGAGGTATCAATATATGTGACTGAATAGTCTGTATATGTGTGCGTACCTCAGTACCGCGTACCTCCCTAATTGTGTATGTATTAATCTAAGCCTACCTCACCTCTGGTCTCCCCCATAGAGTGCAATTAGGACAACTGCAGCCCAGAACGATTTTACCTACAAAATCCATGACAGATCGACGTTTCGTATTCCCTGTTTTCTCCCTGTATCAAAATTTAAAGGAAGAATATATCTACGCTCCTATCACTTGTTTTTATTTTTAAATCTTTTGAAATTTCTTTGATAGTCGTCTCATTACGAAGATAAAAACGGGGCATGTTCTTATGTTTTTGGAAAGTGATATTTACTTTTGTTATAATTTTTTGGAAAAAAATAAATGATGCCTTCAATAGACCTAGATTTCGATTCGAAACAAAAACAATTACTCTAGAGACATTTTCTAAAAGAGAATAGGGGAATACCTTTGTATGGAAAAAATGCAGCCCGTCTACGCTCTTAACTAATAGGATATTACACCCATTTTCAAAAAGTATTTTAAATGAATACTAGAGTTATAATGAAGCACTATATTTTTTACATAACTTTTTTAAAACTGAATTTCAATAAAAAAATTTAATCTATCGTTTTCGTGTAAAAACGCTAGCCGCCATGCTGGTCAACTCGTGACGTCACTGTCTTAGAATTTTGCCGATTATGCAAAGGAATAAGATACTTTTTAACGTTTAGTAATGAGTTATCATCTATATAATTGCTGTGTTGTGCCTGAAGGGGCCTTCTATATTCTTCTGTGAAGATCATTTTGATGTAACTATATCTTATACTTAACTGTCGTTTATACAAAACAAAACATCATGAGGTGAAGGGTATCGCAAGTCAAATTTCGTAATAAATAACGTTAACTTAGATATTACAACTAATGATTATTAATGATCACAATTATAGATAAATTAAACTATGATAGCTTAGTTGGTAATGGTTAAGGTTTTTATGTTTGCAATACAGATTTTCTTTCGATTTAATTGTTTTAATGCCTTTTCATCCCGCTAGTTTTTTCAAAGGGATTTTATAGTTTTCTGCCTTTGTATTTTCCCGTCTTTTCTTATGCGTTCGTTATCATTTTGCTTAGATTATTTTGTCTTTATGTATAAATGAATATGAAGGGTTTTAGTAGGAAGTTATGAAAGGTGAATTTATTTCATATTTTATTTGTTACATCGGCACTTATAACAAAAGAGAATCATAAGAGAAGTAATATCTAAGTACTTTATTAAAAAAAACTTATTTGAAATTTACTTCACTATTCAAGTATCTACTTACATACCAATACTTGTATATTGCAATTAAAATATTTTTATGATTTACATATACGCGAACACTACATACATACAGTCATCCAGATGGTATGGGCCGATATCGCGAGTTATGTCGCGATGTGCGAAGGTGAAATTGTGCGGCTGGAATTAGTCCGAACAATTCCTCAGAGCACTCCCCGTGGTAGATGCGATAAAATACGCAGAGATACAACATCTCTTCGCAGTGCGGTGCGATTCGAACGGCTCTGCGCTGGATTCGATTAAATAGAAGGAGCGGGCACTGGGGAGCCCCCGCCCAGAGACGGAAACAGTATTTATTCTATGTGCTTCCGAATATGCGCCTTGTAAAATTGCAGGTGGTGTGCCGGCAAGAAATACCGTACCGCTCTGCTGAGCAGGCTAAGCTTTTTGAGGCCAATTTGGCCTTCTCTTCCAAGTGACTACGAAACTGCACGTCACCCGATATAATATAATATAATAATAATAATAATGTCGACGCCGAGGATTCCGATACTGGCTCTGACAATAAGGGAAATGCCTTGAAACTGAGGAGATACGATGATGTGGTTTCCGTTTAATATCGTTCGGTATGGGCTTTTCTCTATACACATACACTGTATATAGAAAAAAATCATAGAAATAGATATTTAAACGATAAATCTCACCACTAGCCTTCACAGATAACTACTGTGGATAAATCTTTGTTACAGAGAGCAAGAATCTGTTATAGTAAGCAATTGGCCGCCGAGCTCCAACACATCAAGCAAGTTTGCATGACAACAAGCTTCGGGTCACGTGCCTACGTTAAAGTAGTTAAGTTTTGGCGCGCGAGCTGGCATTTATCCCGGCTTATTAAAGTCCACCGCTGATCATAAGCATAAAGGTAAATTGACTGCCTCCTTGGTCTAATGGTCGTAGCCACGACGTAGTTAATAAAATAAAAATATTAAATAAATGCACCGCAAAAGTAGAAGATTAAATGTGACAACCCTATGGCAATTACTTATGTCTAGACCAAGGGTTCTTAACCTTTTTGCACTCGTGAAATACGCGAGACTTCAAAGGCGATATCCCACTCTTCACTTTTAAGCTGTTTTAAGGGTCATTAGTAACTGGTTAGACATTCACAATGAGTTATAGTAATAGTTACAAACACTTAATATTATTTACTACAAACCTGGCATAACAGCATCGTCAACCAGCAAAACAGCTCGGTCGGGCTGGGCAAGTAAAGCCCTCGCGTGGGGTCCCGAGGGCACCCGAGTCGCCGCTCGGAGTCCAAGCAGCAGTCCCGCACTTCCACCCAACAACGCGCCAAACGTAAACAAAGCTACGCTGCGGCGCCACACTGTATATAAAAAATTCATAAAATTTATATATGAAAAACAGAGAAATAAGTATGACAATCAAGCAATAACTGTTTGATATTCCATATTGTCTGTACTACCAATGATAACTAAACAGTGGCAGTGTAAGAACACCCACCACCCCGTATCATCCCGTGAGTGTCGTAAGAGGCGGCAGAGGGAAACAAATCCAGAGATGTGCAGCAATGTCTTCGTAATAACGACTAACGATAGAAAATTGCAGTTGCCAACTCGCTTGCAAGTGTTGTGAATATGGCAAATATCCCCCCCCCCATGTGGCAACGTATGAGGGAAGCCTGTGTTCAGGAGTGGACTTTAATATGCTGTAACAATAACAGTAACCATACAGTTGTCAAACCTGGACAATCACTAAAGCCCACAATAAGTAGCGAACGCTCAGGAAAAAATTGTCAGACAAAATGAGAACTGCTAAAGTGAACTAAACATAGAAACACACAAGGCATTTTCATATACTCAGTAGTGACACACATTAACGAAACATTTTCTCTAAGCCCTTAGGGGTGATGACACATCTACATATTGATTAATATTTTTTTTATGTGCAAGCGGTATGCAGGTCTAGAGAGAGAGACCAGTATCACGGCGACTTGAAAGATCTATTGTGATCGCTTGTATGGTTATATTTCACTGCTAGGCCCTACGTCTTCTATGAATAGAAGAAGTTGCTTAGCCGTGAGCAATTTCACTTCTTCTGGGCGGAGTACATAGTTTCCCAGATGAGTCTTGCGTTTGCAGATTAAGGGTCCGCAATCATTTAAGATGTGCATAGGCGATTATTCCGTTAGGGAACAGATACCGACATATTCTTGAGTTGCTTAGTCCTAGGATGGAAATGTGGTTTTTAAGACAAGTGTCCAGACAAGGCTCTACCAGAATGCGTAATTTATTTTTACTTAATCCTAGGGCTCCTGAATCGAATTTACGATCAAAAGCACGGATTAAGGTTTTAGAATGTTTTAAGCCTGGTATGGCAGACCAGATGTTAAGAGATTTGTTGTAATCAAGAGTTTCAAGGGTCAATCGGGCTAAGCTTTTTTGAGATTCCACAAAATGGCTTGGATCCAAATAGTTGAGGTCTGCCGTGCAAGCTTGTCGGCGAGTTCATTGCCTACAATATCCGCGTGCCCCAGAACCCATCAGAACCTGTTGTTACATCCTAGGGCGTTTAGACAGTTCACGCAGTCTGCAACTAGCTTTGAGTTCACAAAGTTTGACCTCAGTGCTAGCAGTGCTGGTTGAAAGTCAGAGTTAATATAGATTATATGGTTGATGTAGTGTTTTTACAGATTGATTTCTGCACATAGCAGTATGATGAAAATTTCTGTAGAAGATGGAGGTGAATCTATCCAAATTCATACTAAGTTCGATTTTGGAGTGTTCCCCATAGATTCCAAACCCTATATCGAGGCAAATTTTTGACCCATCAGTATACTATGATAAGGCTATCGACCTCATAGATGACCTGGCCATTCAGCCAGTCTTCTCTGGAGCTATTGAGTCCACCATGGATCTCAATCTATAGAAAAGCAAGCTCAAACCGCCCTGGGCATTAATTCTATACAAACTAGCCCTCATCTCCTTGTCTAGATTAAGATCATGGGGCGTTAGGCATAGAATTGCAATAAGAGCCGCTCCAGGCGATTATTGCATCGATCCAGTTGCCATTAAGCAGGCAGTTCTATGTAGACTATTATTATATACTTTGAAGACTGTTATATATACTTTTAAGACGATTATATTGATTAATAATAGATGTAGGTGTAAATGTTTGGGCCTCAGCATCCACTTCCCATCAGGTGGACTGTGTGCTCGTTTTGCATCTCCATTCTATAAAAGAAATGTTCATACGGAGCAACGTAAAAGTGGAAAATAAGAACTTTTATACAATATTGTTAACTCACTTCGATCTTTAAACAGGGTCACCAGCTCATCATACAGCAGGAGCGGCGAGAGAGGCGGAGTACCATCTTTTATACGTTGCACGGCGTCTCGCGACCACGCAGCCACCCGTTCGCGGCTTTCTATGATTAAATCATTCTGCCACAGCTCTTGGAATGCCTCACGAATCTGCAAAATTAATTACTATCTTTTAAAATGATGATGATGTGTGCTGTGCTGTGATGACTAAAATCTATGATCCTATCATATCCAATATGAAATAGTTTCTTTCCAATTGACTTAAGATGAGACAAATTTCTGTAAATGTCATCAAGTGATAGTTCAAACAATTCAAGAGACGATACAAAAATATTCGCAAATAGGCTACCTAAACATTATGCATATAACAAAAAAATGCATCATTAAAAAAGAATGTATGATAACATCGCACAGTAAAGCCTACAAGCCGTGCCTTGGAAAGCACGTAAAGCTTTTGGTCCCGCACCTGATCTCCCTCCTTTCATCCTCCTCCTTAGAGCGGAAAGGAATAGAGTGCATGTGCATGTGTGCGTGCGCATACATTCACATGCACTATATACTGTCTTGTGCACGTGGTTAGTTTCCGTCGGTCTGGAGGACATTATTATCTATTATAGTATATGTAGGTAATATATTCGTAGACAGTATGGACATTTCAATCATCTCAAAGTGTTTTTTATTTCAATTCTATAGATTTTTATTTTACTCCTTTTCATTAATTTTTTCCGAAGAAATATGTCCAACAACTGCTTAAGTAGGTAGGTGTAAGACAAAAAGCAATTTTTAATTAAATTTATTTTCGTATAATTCGTCATTACAATCAGTCTGACACTAAAAAGCATGCATCTTTAGTTGATGAGACAGTTAGTATATAAAACAATCTTATTTTTAACATCAATAAAAATGTGAAAGATACAATAAATTACTCCAAATTAATTGTACTAAATGTAGTTAACTTCTGTTTACTTTGTCATTTTACAAAACAAGTCTGAAATATTATAAAAAATTCACTAAAATAATACATAAATAATAATTAAAAGTTATATAGTCAATAAAATCTTAGTTATTTAAATGTCATATAATACTACATCAAAATATAAAAGCTCAACCAAGCCTTGTCATTTACAAGGTACTAAAACAAACTATGCTCAAAAAACTCAGTCCGTATATAATAAGATAATATAATCACAACATAAATTATAAAACAATATTGAGTTAGTATTCAAGTCCATTATATTTCTAATGGTATATTACAAATTTACACATGGTTTTGCGTAATTAAGAAAACGAGGGAATTTTTCCCATTTCATAAATAGCTTCTCCTCTCAACTGTGGTAAACTAAATACTTTGGCTAGTGTTGTATCCAAATATTTATTATAAACCGCTTTAAGTTTGGAATTTTCGACATTGACGACGATTTTAGCTAACTTTCTAATGATAGGATCAATGTGCTCTAAAGAATATCCTGAGTAATATGAGAGTGTTGTTGTCCATACTTCAGCTAACTTTCTAATGATAGGATCAATGTGCTCTAAAGAATATCCTGAGTAATATGAGAGTGTTGGTGTCCATACTTCAGCTAACTTTCTAATGATAGGATCAATGTGCTCTAAAGAATATCCTGAGTAATATGAGAGTGTTGGTGTCCACACTTCAGCTAACTTTCTAATGATAGGATCAATGTGCTCTAAAGAATATCCTGAGTAATATGAGAGTGTTGGTGTCCATACTTCAGCTAACTTTCTAATGATAGGATCAATGTGCTCTAAAGAATATCCTGAGTAATATGAGAGTGTTGGTGTCCATACTTCAGCTAAATTTCTAATGATAGGATCAATGTGCTCTAAAGAATATCCTGAGTAATATGAGAGTGTTGGTGTCCATACTTCAGCTAACTTTCTAATGATAGGATCAATGTGCTCTAAAGAATATCCTGAGTAATATGAGAGTGTTGGTGTCCATACTTCAGCTAACTTTCTAATGATAGGATCAATGTGCTCTAAAGAATATCCTGAGTAATATGAGAGTGTTGGTGTCCATACTTCAGCTAACTTTCTAATGATAGGATCAATGTGCTCTAAAGAATATCCTGAGTAATATGAGAGTGTCGGTGTCCATACTTCAGCTAACTTTCTAATGATAGGATCAATGTGCTCTAAAGAATATCCTGAGTAATATGAGAGTGTTGGTGTCCATACTTCAGCTAACTTTCTAATGATAGGATCAATGTGCTCTAAAGAATATCCTGAGTAATATGAGAGTGTTGGTGTCCATACTTCAGCTAACTTTCTAATGATAGGATCAATGTGCTCTAAAGAATATCCTGAGTAATATGAGAGTGTTGGTGTCCATACTTCAGCTAACTTTCTAATGATAGGATCAATGTGCTCTAAAGAATATCCTGAGTAATATGAGAGTGTTGGTGTCCATACTTCAGCTAACTTTCTAATGATAGGATCAATGTGCTCTAAAGAATATCCTGAGTAATATGAGAGTGTCGGTGTCCATACTTCAGCTAACTTTCTAATGATAGGATCAATGTGCTCTAAAGAATATCCTGAGTAATATGAGAGTGTTGGTGTCCATACTTCAGCTAACTTTCTAATGATAGGATCAATGTGCTCTAAAGAATATCCTGAGTAATATGAGAGTGTCGGTGTCCATACTTCAGCTAACTTTCTAATGATAGGATCAATGTGCTCTAAAGAATATCCTGAGTAATATGAGAGTGTTGGTGTCCATACTTCAGCTAACTTTCTAATGATAGGATCAATGTGCTCTAAAGAATATCCTGAGTAATATGAGAGTGTTGGTGTCCATACTTCAGCTAACTTTCTAATGATAGGATCAATGTGCTCTAAAGAATATCCTGAGTAATATGAGAGTGTCGGTGTCCATACTTCAGCTAACTTTCTAATGATAGGATCAATGTGCTCTAAAGAATATCCTGAGTAATATGAGAGTGTTGGTGTCCATACTTCAGCTAACTTTCTAATGATAGGATCAATGTGCTCTAAAGAATATCCTGAGTAATATGAGAGTGTTGGTGTCCATACTTCAGCTAACTTTCTAATGATAGGATCAATGTGCTCTAAAGAATATCCTGAGTAATATGAGAGTGTCGGTGTCCATACTTCAGCTAACTTTCTAATGATAGGATCAATGTGCTCTAAAGAATATCCTGAGTAATATGAGTGTTGGTGTCCATACTTCAGCTAACTTTCTAATGATAGGATCAATGTGCTCTAAAGAATATCCTGAGTAATATGAGAGTGTTGGTGTCCATACTTCAGCTAACTTTCTAATGATAGGATCAATGTGCTGTGTAATATGAAAGTGTTGTTGTCCATACTTCAGAAAGAGTTTTGTTTGAAAGCAAGTGTAGGGAAAGACAAATTGCAGCAGCAGACAGCTCCGATGGTCGATAGTGGGCCATTGAATACTCCACAAGACTGAGGTTAATAAAGTATTTCGCAGGTGGTGATTTTTGATGTCCCATGCGCTGCTTTAACAAACTTTCTCAAAAAACTGAGTGGTATAGTAGGTATATATAGGTCGTGCAAGGCAAAATCCAAGTTTTGACATAATATCTCTCTCACACTGGAAAACATCTGCTTTGCTGTAGGCATTATCAGTCACATAGACAAAGTCACCTACATCAGGAGCATAAATTTCTTCATACTTGCTGGCGATGAACATAGCTGTTACACCAATCAACTGCAGTCGATTCCGTTGAACATTTGGTACTGCCTGTAAATATCTATCAATGATTCCAACTGTGAGATGGAATGTTTCTAAAACTAAGGAGAATTGACGTTGGACCAACCAACCAATCAATAAGAGTTGCCCTCATTTTTCCGGTGATCACAGTCTGTTTACTTAGGAAATCAAATTCAATAGGGTATTTTTCTTCCAGTTCTGTTAAATATTCATAAATATCTTTAATGTACATTGACATGCGAAGTGGGCTATTGTTATCCCTAGCATCAATATCTTCTATGTCATCAGGTAGTGTAGGTGTTGATGGTACTATTTGCTTTGTTGGTTTTTCTTTATTTAAAGTCTCTTCTTTTTTCTTGCTTGAAGGTTCAGACAATTTAAGTTTACCTAACGACTCTGATGGATCTTTGAGGATAGGTTTTAATATACTTTTAAGTTCTTTAGATATCTCCCTAACTGCATGTAGTTTATTAGCCTTTTTAACATCTTGTTTTTTCTTGGTCTGCACATAAATATTGAGTGACTCTTTGATCTCATTTGGCTTATTGTGCGTGTCTTTTAAAATAGCCCTTGTCCGAGCAGCAGCCTTTGCAGCAAGCGCAGCCGTGCTCTCCTCTCGTCTCAGAGCTGGTCCAGAAGATGGCTGCACAACAGGCTTACTTGCTAGTCATGTATCTATTGTTGATTGTACGTGGTTCTAATTACGTCGAACAGTATTACGATTTCCATTAGACTTTTTCTCATTTTCTGCAGCGGCAGCGGCTGTTTTTCCAACATTTACATCGCGTTGTGCTCGCGCGTTAGTATTGAGTTCATCAAGAGCACTCCGAACACTCAAACTTTGGCGTTTTGTTGGAAGTGCCAAATTTATTTTACCTTTCGCATATATATTTTCTTGATCCTGAATCTGAACCGTTCGCGGTCGCCTTTTTTGGATCTCCATATTTGAATAGCCGATTTCTTCTTAAAACTACACGAACAAAAGAACTTTGGTCGATTTTACGTTATGTTATTATTGCAGTTCCAGCTTTATTTATTATCTTCTCAGCTTTCCTTATAATATAAGTTTGATAATATAAGGCACCAAATGAATAATAGCGCTGTGGCCATGGCAACAATGCTACAGCATCATGCTGAGTCAGATGCCTTTTCATTTCTGCAACCCAATGTATTTGTGTATATAATTTTTTTTATTTGCTTTGTAATTTTAATTTTCAGCATTATGCATTGTGCTGTTTGTGATGCATAAATCATTTATCCTTCATTTTGCCTGCCCTTAAAATGACTAAAAACCTTAAAACTGTTCAAGAAAAACAAAAAGTGATACATCATTTTGTGGATACGTTTGGACGAATAGACAACAGATTTCCACCAAGTAAAAACAAGATCATAATTTCTAAGTGTTATATATATATATATATATATATATATATATATATATATATATATATATATATATATATATGTATATTATAAACTGCGGTTGCCAACCTGCTTGCAATGGCAATTATAGTCTATGGCAAATATTCTCCCTCATCAGTGGACTTGAATAGGCTGTAATGGTGAGAGTTTAACTAAATAAATGATTATAATATGATATAACGTAATTGTTGCAGCATATTGGCCTATGTAAATGTGTGTCTCTTAACTATTTTTAGTCAAGTTTAATGCTAGATGTCATCACTTTGGCACAGATTGACCAAGGGACCTTGGCAGTTCTTGCCAAAACATTTGCCAAAATTTTATTACAAATTGTATCAATTTTCTGTGCTGCTGTAAACAGATTGGAAATATTTTTCATAGTTTTTGCATGTGTCTTACCATCAAACACCACCATACCAGCTTACCGTCAGGTGAACCGTAAGTTTGTTTGTCACTTTAAACATAAGACCAATTAGTCCCAATAACATGGGACTAATGAGATCAAATCAAATCAAATCAAATAATTTATTTGTAAAACATTGGTAAAAAGTTACAAACTTGGTGGAAAAGGTATGATAAGTAACACTATGTTTCGCCTACAAAGGCATACAAATATTTGTTTATCACTATCACCTGGCAATATGAAAATGAATTTTTAATAAAATAACAATTTCAATTATAATTAGTATGTTTAGAAATAACATTAATTATTATTTTAATTATCAATTACATAAATATAAACATATAATAAATAAATCGTCCATTAATTATTGTAGGTACTAAAAACCACTCAGATATATTTTATTTCTTTTCAGACATATATATTTTTCAGAGATATATTTTATTTCTTTTATTGTCTGCAGAACCAACAGTGTTTTGTAACTTTATAAAGCTTTTTTTATAGGATAGGGTGACAAACGAGCACACAGTCCACCTGATGGTAAGTGGTTGCTGCGGCCCATAGACCTCTACATCTATCCTCGATTACAAATCAAAATTCAGATGCGTTGTCACCAGAGAGGACTAAGATGGAATGCCTCGTTTCCAGTAAAAAGGGTCTCCAGTTCTCTACATTCACCATACAAAACACAGCAGCATTACGCTGGTGTACTGTGAGAGCATGGTCCTTCCCTGGTCGAGCCGACCCATTCGTGCTACAACTATACTACTAATATAACTGCAGCATGGCTCTACCATGTATAGAAGCTGAGTAAATATGTACATTTCCTACTGCCGTACTGTTTATTACTTTATAAAATAACCTTATACCATATCACAAGAGCTCTGTGGATATAAATACATATAAATATCTTTTCATTATCATCACAGCCCTTAACAAGTCCACTGCTGAACATAGGCCTTCCCCAAGAAATGCCACAAAACACGGTTCTGAGCCACCTGCATCATCGACTTCCTGCATGTCCTACCAGGTCATTTCTCTATCTAGTAGGGGGTCACCCGAAATTTCTACGGAAATGAGGCTGCCACTCGAGAATGTTTTTTCCGCATCAGTTGTCAGTTCATTTAAAATATTTGATTGTATTTTATGTATCACATTCCGCAATTAGCATATAAATAACAATAATGAAAAAAAAACCTTTCTAAAGAGTTCACTTGTTTGTGATGCTACTTCCCGGACTCTTGTTTTACTCCCATCTGCTGCTGCTTTAGCTGCCGACTGAAATTTAAGAATAACTTTTTATTTATTTCAAAATTATAAGAAACAAAAAAAATTAAAATAAGTTTTATTTCAGAAATTTGTATGCTACTACACTGAGGGTCCTAGAGGGATGTACGTGTTTACTTATTAGGTCTGATATATCTTTATTCTTACATGAATACAAAATCGACTGTATATGTTGTCACTGCAGCTAGATTATGGTTGTAGCACGAATGGACTGGCTCGACTGGTGAATGACCACTATCTCACAGAATACCAATGTAAATTAGCTGCTTAATACAGCTGTTGAAACACAGCTGATTTAAGCATGTATATGGTGAGGGTAGATATTCAGCAAACCTTCTTTACTGAAAATGAGACATTCCATCTTAGTCCTCAAGGTTGACAATGCATCTACATTTTGATTCTTAATTGAGGATAAATGTACATGTTCATGAGCCACAGCAACCATTTACAATCAGGTGGACTGTGTGCTCGTTTGTCACCCTTATTCTATAAAAAAGATCATTATTGTTTTTCAAGTATATATATATATATATATATATATATATATATATATATATATATATATATATATATATATATATATATATATGGAAGTATGTCTATTTCTTTAAGCCACCTGCATCCATCAACTTTCAGCATTTCTGAACCTGAAGGTCACCACTCTATCTAGTAGGGGACCACCCTCCACTTCACTTACTAATCTGAAGCTGCTACTCAAGAACCTTTCATACCCATCTGATGTTCTTTATTGAAGCTGTTATTTCAACACTTTTTAGGTAACTGACCTTTAAGCCCATGTCAGGTATTCTGGATCCACTGTACACAGAAATTCTGAATGTAACCCTTGCCATAGCTTGCTGACTGACCTTGAGTTATCTCATGAGTCCAGTGGTGTTGTAGCAGAGTTTAATTTTTGAGATTTAAAGAAAACTTAATCATTAGCAAGATAGCCATTATTCTGAATCCATATCTAACAGATTGGTTATAGGAAGCATCATTATCTGTGTGAGAGTTATCCATTATTTGCTCACCAGTCTGCCTACTCAGTGTGGTGACTAACGCAAGCTTTTCAAGTATAATGTGTGAATATTGCAGAGCAATGTAAGTTTACAATGACATAATAATACAAGAGGCCTAAATTTTTTGGGGAAACTTTTTTTCTATAAGATTTACAATTAAGTTTGGTTATATAAGTTTCAAGGGCACTTCCCTTCCAAACTAGGGCTATGACATTGCGGTGTCAACAAAACAATTTGTCTACACAACATATCATGTAATTTTTTTAATCTAGTATATGTTAATATTCATTAAATCTTTTATTATGATTATTACTTGATATGGGAAACCTAAGAACTTAATCACTACTTACGTGAAGGGCCTCGAGCTTCTCACCAGCCCGTAGCTTTAATTCGTCCATATCAGCTGCAGCGTTAGAGGAGAACGTCTTGTTCCATATGGTCAATTAACTCATACTCAAAACCTTAAACTTTCAGCACCCGGCCAAAACTTCACTCTTAAAATAGATTATCATTGCATTCGTTACCACACTCGGTCAGACACGCTCTACAATAAAAAGATTTATTTGTGTTTAGTCAAAGTAGATTTTACGTTATTTAGTTATTTTAGTTATATTGTTGTTATACTATTTTGCACCACAATTACCTACATATTTTTATTCAAACCAATACATTTGATAGTTTGATACAATGACAGTGACAGTTGACAGGTGACAGCGGACCAGCTGCTCGTGACTCGTGAGGAGCATTCAATGCATGAAGGTTAGAGAACAGGAGAACGATCACTACGTACTAAAGCATAGCCCGTCTGTCCTTGAAAATTGTAGAATGTATAGCGGCGCTGATGTCCGTGAGTAGTGACTGCGAAGTTAACTGTTTATGAGTACAAGAAGATGAAGTTAGTTGAATAAAGTAAAATAAAGTTACAGCCTATATACGTCCTACTGCTGGGCACAGGCCTCCCCTCATTTCTGAGAGGGTTTTAGGTCAAGGAAGTGTCCGCTGCGCTGCCACAATGCGTGTTGGCGAACTTCACATGTTTTCGAAATATTTTTTTTCTTATTCCTCAGACATGCAGGTTTCCTCACGATGTTTTCCTTCACCACTGATCACGTGGTAAATCAGCACTTAAAATTGCAATTAATAATTTCATTGGTGCCGGCGGGAATCGAACCCCGGGTTACTCGCATTTTGTTATATTTACATATTTGTAATTTTGATGATCTTTGCCTTACATTGTCACATTTCACGTTTTCGGTAGATGTGATAGTATTGACTGAGTGTCAAATTGATCCAAAAAAAAAAAACATACCACAGTTAAATAATTATACATCATTTACAACAACAAATCATTTGAATCGGTGTGACGGAGTTGTAATCTACGTAAGAACGGATTATAAAGTTAAGGTTACCGAGATCCTGCTTTTGAATGCTTCATGTCTCCAGATTACCATAAATGACCTCACTATTCTAGGGATTTATCGCTCACCATCAACCTCCGATGTAGAAAAATTCGTATATTCACTAGATAATCACTCGAATAACCTAAAGACATTTAAAACTATAATTATTACGGGAGACATAAACATAAATATAATAAATGACGACAATTTACAGACAAACGAACGTAAAAATAAAATAAACTACTTAAACATGCTAGCTACACACGGCATGTTACCAGGACATACCCTGCCAACTAGAAACAAAAACTGTTTGGTACATTTTATTTTAAAACTAAATAAATCCAAAAATGCTGCTTCTATATACGTTCTGAATGCTACTATTGCTGACCATGACATGATTTTTCTACAACTATCCAATATAAAAGATGAAACTAATTCTACTAAAATAAGGACCTCTATCAACCTTCTACAAGCAATCGAATCATTTAAGGATTTGGATCTTCATGACATGCTACTACATACTAATCCCACTTATCTTACTGATTTGTTAATTGATAAATTAAAGCAAGGTATTTTAACTAACACAATAACCATGATAATTCCATACAAAAATCGTACTTTAAAACCATGGATTACAATTTAAGTATTCTTCGTTGTATAAGAAATAGAAACGATATACAGAAAAAACTGAAACGTGACCCAAAAAACTTAATCCTAAAAATAACATATAGACGCTATCGAAATCACTGTAATGCTTTGATTAAAAACTTAAAACGGAATTATGAAAGAGATCAACTAATTAAAAAATAAAAAAAATCCCAGGTTACTCTGGAAATCTATAAATGACATCACGCATCGTAAAGTAAATAAATCAAATAATATAGGACTTCTTAACTGTAAATCAACGCCTAAAGAATCTGTAAATTACATAAATGCTTATTTTGCAAATATTGGCAAATCTCTAGCTGATAATATTTTAAAGCGTCAAACAAATTGGGGTACACTGTCTGATAATTATATGGATTTAAAACCATCTTCCTCCTTTGTCTTATTAGAAACTGATCCGGATGAGGTTTATGAAATTTTAATGGGATTAAAATCGGACAGTGCCGCGGACTGGAATGGTATACAAACGAAATTTCTGAAACATGTTGGCAAATAAATAGCCCCCGTCATTGCTCACTTAGCTAACCTCTGCATAAGACAGGCTATGTTTCCTACTGCGCTCAAACATGCTATCGTCACTCCGATACATAAGGGTGCAGATAGAGACGAAGCTAGTAACTACAGACCCATATCAGTTCTTCCGGTTATTTCAAAAATATTAGAAATAATTATAAATAGCAGATTAATTAGCTTCTAAAACAAATATCAACTCATATCTAACTCACAATTTGGCTTTAGGCGAGGGATTTCAACAGATGACGCTATAAGTGCATTAACGTCTCACATTACTGAAAATGTCGATAGAAATAAAAAGTGCATTACAGTTTTTTTAGATCTTTCGAAGGCTTTCGATACCGTCTCTGTCCCCATCCTTATGCGCAGATTGGAATCAGTGGGTATCAGGGGTATTCCCCTAGCTTTGCTGTGTGATTATTTGAGTGATCATAAATAGAGCGTTAGGGTTGGTGACTGTATTAGCGAGCTAGCAGACACAACATATGGTGTCCCCCAGGGAAGTGTGTTGGGACCAACTCTCTTTTTAATTTATATCAACAACCTATGTAACTTGGATATTCGTAATGGTAAATTATTTTCATATGCTGACGACACCGCCGTAGTTTTCTCTGGTTCAACATGGGACGAAGTACATGGCTTTGCTCAAGAAGGTCTGGCCCGAATATCTCAATGGTTAGATAAAAATTTATTGACTTTAAACGCCTCTAAGACCAATTTTATATGTTTCACAAATTATAACAGTACTCAGCCAAATATAGACTTTCAAATAAAAATTCACTCATGTAACAATTTCTACAATCAAAATTGCTCATGTGATAGCATAGATAAAATATCGAAAACCAAATATCTTGGAGTAATGGTTAACCAGCGCCTTGCTTGGAGTGCCCACATTGATCTACTGATTGGCAGAATTCGCAAACTAACTTGGATTTTTAAAACTTTGAGACACGTTGCCGATGCAGATTTATTAAATATATATATATCGCTAGCACAATCTATCCTTAACTACTCTATCACAGTCTGGGGTGGAGCCACCAAAACCAAATTTCTGGAACTAGAACGAGCTCATAGACCTTTGCTTATAGTGATTTACTTTAAACCTTATAGGTTTCCAACCGTCAGTCTATATTCCCAATGTGGCCTACTATCTGTAAGGAAACTTTACATTTTACATGCGATTCTAAAACTTCACAGAAAACTGCCCTACAACCCCTCTAGACAAAATAAAAGAAGAATATTAAATGTTGCACCCGTAACCCACGTTAAAACTGCCTACGCTAGGAGACAATTTAGAAGATAATCTGCAAATATTTATAATAAATTAAATAAAATTCTGAATTTTTACCCTACAGTCACACACACGCGCAAGAACAGACTACAGAGCTGGCTTCGAGGTAAAAACTATGATGACATTGAGAACCTTATCCTACATTAACATATGCTGTGTAATATATAGTCATAATTCTATTTACTAACTCACATGTACACACGCATGCAACACACATACACACACACACACACACACGCACATGCACACGCACACGCACACGCACACGCACACGCACACGCACACGCACACGCACACACACACGCACACGCACACGCACACGCACACGCGCACGCGCACGCATACGCACACGCACACGCGCACGCCCACGCGCACGCCCACGCCCACCCACACTCACACGCACACGCACACGCACACGCACACTTAATGCTTCTCTTTTGACACCGTTTAATCCTAATTGTTGATATTATCTTGCTGTAGGTAATACTTACTATAACACAATGTATCTTTTGTAATCTTGGGAAGGAGCGGAGTCTCCTAACACAAGTATCGTACTTAAAAGGAGATTCCGGCCATTAGTCATGTTACTATGTAAAAGATACTGAATAAAGATTTTTCATTTTCATTTACAGCGAGCGTTAACCATCTGAGCTACCACGGCTCACTCGGCTTAGTTGAATAATGTACAAATTTTCATTTCATTTTTATTGAGAAAATTTTCATGCTCCGTAATTTTGTAATTTTTGGCAATAAAAAACATTAAAAAATGGAGAAATATTTTATTGTGCGTGGATGTGCAAGAGGTTTAGCATGTGATCGGAAAAAAAGACTGAAAATAACTTTTATTGACAGAACTTTGCGATCGCAGCGCCTCACTGATGGTGTCCATATTTCTGGGACTCTATTTTCTACGGTGATCGTTCTCCTGCTCTCTAACCTTCATGATTCAATGTATAGAGTATGGAGTGTAGAAGTAAGTAGTACAGACTGTGTATTAATAAGAGTCCATAGAAAACCGTTAAATAAGGGTGGCGCCACTATAGTTACATTTTACGCACACTTGTAGGTTAAATACATCAACATAGAAAAAGTAATGAGTTTAAGACGGACAAATTAATTGCGATGCTACCATATCGATATTTTACCTAAGAAAAAGAGAAAAACTCACAAGCATTAACAAAATGCACTCGAGCAATTAAAATCATCTTTTAGTTGGTCAGCGTAGTAAGGTTTTTTTAAGGTTCCATAGTAACACAACAAGGCATGCTTATAGTTTCGCCAAGTTCAACAGTCTGTTGGCTTGTCCGCGGCTTAGTACAGAGACTATTGGTATTCTAAAGAGCTGTAATTTGGCATGGTTAAAAATGAATACCAGAAATAAAAGGCTCTAAGTACTAAAAACAAAAAGTGGACGAACTTGTGATTTAAATAACAAGCCCAAGGAATAAAATTATAAATAAAATTAAAAAAAATATTTGCGGCTGATCTTAGTGACAATGACAACATCTATTTTAAACGGTATTCAAAG